TACCCTTAGCTTCCCTTGCTCTTACTTTTCTTTTGCTAACTTTTCCTCTCCTCAATAACTTCAGCCTTTATGCCACTTGAGAGGCTTCCCGAACTTTTGTTAGTATTTCCGTATTTATTCGCATAAAAGGATGTCACTCAGTACGTGGAGAGGTAATAATGTGAAGCTATAATAGAGAATGGGATGATTTTAAATTGCCAATATTATACCTCCGATTAAGGAATAATGTTTAGATTTGGTGTCTATTACCCATAAGATAGAAATTCACTATTTTATTTCCATATTCACCTGTGATAGGTAACATTATTTGTTTTAAGATCAATATTGAGACTACTGAGGGCGCGGATTCAATCGTTAATGTGAATACTAAAATCCATTGCTAGTGATGATATTCACCTTCATGCTATCGCCTTTTTTGATAGTGGCAGTCAAAGTGCAGTTGTTCATGGGGACATCACCAGTTTTTAAAACAAACAATTTCGCAACTTGGTCAGATCGGCAGGAAGACCTAGAGAAACACATCTTGTCCTGAGTCCCTAGTATGCATGATAATCTCCAGAGTCGGATCGTGGACTTGATACATTCCCATTTAGGAATGTATCCAAATGCATCGAAAGGAGACTGCTACAGAAATAGATGCCACAACATCTTAGTCTTTGCCTTTACTCTTGCAGTATTTTGACAAAATTGGCTTGAGGCTTGCTGGATTCATTCTTTGATTCATCCGTTGGCATTATGCTGGTCTTAAGGACAATGTTTAGGCGTGATAATTACAAAAAAAGCAATAAAAAGTAGACAGTAAAACAACTAAAAAACGCTTTTGCTGGCTCTTAAAATGACGTGACATGAAATGGCTAATTAAATCGTTTTGTCTGGATCCATCAAATTATATAAAGCCGCAAGGAGTAGTAGGCACGATATTATCAGTTCAAGTATTTTTGGAAAGTTTATTCCATCCCGGATAGGCTTTGTAAGACAACACGCATCAGAAAAGTACTCTGCTAGCACCGTAAGTGTTTCTCTTTATCAGATGCCCTCTTTTCTCACTACTACTCTTCTGCTATTTCCCTGATCTTCATATTTTTTATCGTTATTATCCTTCTTATGCCTTATCCCATTTTTAGATTTCTCAATGACCTCGGCCGAATCTGGCGATTTAGATTCCGGCCACGCCGGTTTCGGATACCAACCGCCTGTGCCTAGTCGCACGGCCTCTTTTGGTGCTCCCAACAAGGCCGTATTAACTGAAAACATGCAGGGCTTGCCCTCCGGTCGCCGACTGGCCGATCAGATGAAAATGCAGGCTTACTCTCATCTACAGACACTGGCACAAGCCAAGGCTAACTACAACCCCGGCGCTGCCAGCATCAACCAAAATGCCAATGTTAACTTCGTCGGCGGCCTGACGAACCTGCGGCTGGATGAAGTCGAGTGTCAAACCGCTGCCGGAGGACCAATGGCCCGATCACTCGGATACCCAACGACGCAGCAGTCGTTGCAATCACAAGTGTCCACAGGATTGCCTGCCCGTGGCTATGCAAATTCAGCGGGTGAGTCAGAAGAAACCTTTAAGGCACGATTATTTTCTATGGGCATATGCTACATCTCCCTTCGGGGTTCCGAGTAGTTACGAAATAGGATGAACACATCTGATATAACCGATCTACTTGCATACTCATAAACGAAAAACAAGCAGAATATGCAAAGAAAAATTGGGTTTCAAGGAATCTCTCGTTTCATAATTGTTGAGCTCACTTCCATTTTAAGTGAAGAGTTTGGTGAAGATCGGTCCCAGCAAAAAACGAGGGAAGATTACGCTTTATCAACTGTCGATTGGCTTTATTGGAACATTCTTGACGTTGTTTCCGAGGCAATCTTCTTCGATTACGATGAAAACGTGCTAGGCTTTCGTCCTTTATGTGACGAATGTCAACAAGAATGTTCCAGTATAGCCAATCGACGGCTGATCAAGAGTAATCCTCTGTCGTCTTCCGGTGGGATCGACCTTCGAATCTCTTCAACAAAGACTTTCACTCTGAATGGAAGTAGGCCCAACATGTATGTGATCAGCCAGTCGCTAGCAGACCTTGGGTTTGCTGAAGTTATCGCCTCCATCTGTACTTGTTTCTGAAAACCTCTAAATAATTATTAAATGCTGATTTGATCTTGGGCTTAAGGTGATTACGCAACACTGGACTTCAACAATTATATTAGATCTGCCTGAAAGGAAACTCTCCGGATGAATTCATGCAGTGTTGTCCAGCTGAAGGTCTTCGGCAAAAAAGCAATTATCCCCAAGCTTGCCGGGCTTCTTAAATATGTAGATACGAAGAGTAATTGGGTTTCGATGAATCTCTTAAGATAACATTGTTGGGGAGGCTTTAATTTAGTTAGAAAATGCATAAATAATAAAGAGATTCGAAGGCTGATTTCCATTGTACTGCAACTGTTTGGCTTTATTACGACTTTTAGCTTGGCCCAGTCCACTCGTTTTGGGTGAAATTAGGTCATGCTTTCGTCAGAAGAAATTCATCTCACTAAAACGCACATACACAAGTAAAAAGACTATGACTAATATAACTACACTTTTTCGTTTTGTTGTTATGATTATATATAAAAGGTGAAATAGAGCCAGACAGCCTTTTTGACCCAGTGTTAACTTAAGAATTTTACAAGAATGACTTCCAGTTCTGATGATCTCCTTCATACGACGGAAGAAAGGATGTCTCGTGAACTGCGTCATTCTGAAGGTTGTATTAAAGCCAAACGGCTGCAGTACAACGAGAATTAGCCATCGTCTTCTGGCGAGATCGAGCTTCGAATCTCTTCTTCATGCACCTTCTTGAATATGGTCAGGATAGCTTCACTGTTCAAAGCAAAGTCCTAACTCGGATTCGCAATCGCTTGGTGCAAATGGCTCTTTTGTCAAGAATTTGCGTTTCGAAGTCATGACTTTTAGTATTTCGACATGACTTTCTAGTTGGAAGGAATTGCTGAAAATCGAAGGAGGATTGCCGCGTAGTGAAGAATGTTGAATTGCGTCCTGCCACCCCAATAAACTCATACTAAGCTTTCGTCTGTACCAGCGTG